ACAAGCTCTGAGCACGCAGCTGTCCTAGCTGAGACACTTGCCAGCCTTCTAAAATAAACCCACTCAAGCCACTCTTTTCTGATCAAAGCATGAAGTGGCTTAAGCTGGATAAAGCCTGTGTTGGTGACAGACTTCACTGGTATGGCCAGCTAGTGTGTTTCCTTCATTTAGCAATGGCTTTTAAGGATTTTGATTGAATTCTTCGGGTCTTAAACATAAGTAGAAAATTCTTACAGTTAATCATACATTTTTCTTTTAATTATGGAGTTTGGCAGCTTTAAAATAGAATGCCATCTCTGCAGTGTTCCCTGTAAAATGTTCTACTAAAATGTATTGTTCTATCTTGCATTCCCTTTTTCCTGCAGCCTGGTTTAACACAGGGTAGCTAAAGAGACTACAACAGAGAGCAGTTTGCTCATTACTTTTCAAGGAGAAATTGTTTCAAGTGAATGTATAACCTCGAGAGCCCTGGAACACATCTGATTTCCCCTCACCTCTGCTGTGACTTGTCCCATGACATGGGACTATCGATAATATATGTATCTTCTTACTGTACTGCTCAGTACATTCTCCTGTAGGTAGATCTGGTTAGAAAGCACTTGAAGTTTCCTTACACATCTCCACTTCCCCAAGGGATCAATGTCTTGATGGATCACATTCAAACACATTCAACATCTCACCGAGGGTGTGTGAAAGGACAACAGAATCACTTTCACTCTATCCATATCCATTTCCTACTGCACTCCCTGTTTTACAACTATTGGCATGCCTGGAGGGAACAGCGCTTCTCAAGGTCACAGGAGGTGGAAAATAGTCGCTGTTAAGGTACAGAAACTTTTGAATCAGGATAGCAAAGGCACGACCGTTTTCTAACTCCAAGGAGGACTGAGTGGGATTTGGTGGTGGTGGCAGCGTGTCTGTGTTACAGTGGGGTTGGGGTAGGTTGGGGATATTTTAGCCTTTGCAAATAAGGTTAATTGCTTATTTTTAAAAAGGTGATAGTAATCTTTGTGTTTTCGGGGTAAGAATAATTTTCCAAGTTTCTTGACTTTGCATTACAGGAGTGAAGGAGAATAACATTCCAGTGTTACCACATTTTACCCTCACTGTACAGTGGGATCTGTACCTCTGCCTTCTACAGGTGTGGTGTGGTTTCATGCACTGTACACTTACTGTTTCAACTAAGTAGCATTGTTTCATTGGTATTAAAAGGAGATTCTGACAGACCATAGCTGGGACTGTCCAGTAGTTAACAGTCACTTGTAAGATGAGTTTTTACTATGACTCTTGTGGGATTGGGAATTAAACTTGAAGCTTCCACATCCAAGATGAGAGCCCCAGCCTGTCGGTTTCAGAGAAAGAAAGGAAGAAACACATCACTTCCTTGCAGCCTTGAGATGGAACGTCAAGTCCCCATGAACCTATCCTAGAAGAATCTCTCCCAAGTCAAAATGAGGTATTTTGGATCTGCCAAAAGGAATGTTTGTCAGTGTTAATGCAATTCACTTCAATTATGTGCATTTGACAGTGAATACAGACTAGGCAAGTGCATGCAGCATCCCACGAGGCATCCAATTACTGCTGGAACATTCTACCACAGATTTTTCTAAATTTTTTTTTTTTTTTAATAGAAAACATGATTTATGGAATTTTCTGAGAGGAAATTTCATTATTGTCACAAAAATATTCATCCTTCATTGGGGAAAGCAAATGAAGTATTTTGTTTCTACTTGAACATCTTGAGTTTGTGGTTTTTAGAACTAAAATTATGTTTTGGGTCCCGTTGACATATAATCTGTTTCAACCCTGACTGCCAGGGTGTCTTATGGGACTTGTAGTTTTCTGGTGCTGCATGTACCAGAGCACCAAACTTCATCACCTTAAGCCACCTTAATATTCCACAATCTTTAGCTGAACTAGTGCTTGTATCACAGGAACCCGCTGTCAGCTGAATAAGGGGGATCTTTAACTCAAATCTAGTGTCCATATGCCAGAAAGGCCATAATAAGCAGGGAACAGCTGATTTTGCTCTGCAAAGACCCGCAGATTTCATAGCCTTGTAAAGGCAGGAACCAGATGTATATTTTAATGAAATGTAATGAATTCAGTATAGGCCTGCCAGCAAGGGAGGGAAACAGAGATGATAGGAACTGAAGTGAGGTATTTGTTCATTTCTTCGCAGAATTTATTGGGTCAAAACCAAGAAATATTTAAGCTGAGCTTGCTGTGGGGCATAATCTCTCTTGATTTTTCTGGAAAATTTAAATGGCCTCAATGGATATTTTTTTTTCTCCTACTCTTTTTTGTCCTTGAAGTGCTGTGAAATGTGTGTGGTGCTCGTATGTGATGGGTAAATCTTTCTTCCCTGAGAAAGGTGGTTCAGATAATGTATAGCATTGTGCATTCATAAAGTGCCAGTCCTAGAGCATCTCAGATGATTCCTTAATTTTAGAAATTTGCCAGATGGGGATGTTTATTTTACTTATTTTACAAACTGGAAAATGAAGAGACCGAATAAACTATATGTAATCACACAACTGGATCAGAAAGATACTCTGGATTTCCCAATAGGTTTATTTTTCATGTGTTATGTTAGCATTAGCTCAAATGTATTTTATAGCAGTGATAGCATTCCCATTAGTGCATGACTTGGATGGTGGTAGGTTCCATACAGATTAATAAAGAAGTGGTGTTTCTGCAATAGCCTGTAAAGATCACTGCATACTGTATGTGAGGAGAACTGCTTAAAATCAGCCTGCCTCTTCTTGTGTGGAAGGTGACACTTCAACATGTGTGGCTTTGCCCAACTTACACTTTTTTTTTTTTTTTTTTTTTCACTTTGCAAGTGATATTTAGTAAATATTTGTCAATTTGCCAATGGTTGTGCCTCCTGCAGCCTTGAACAAAGCTTGTTACTGTTAGTGAATATATCTGCCTTTCTTGGAGTTTTTTCATTTAATTTTTAGGATTCTGTATATTTTTAACATACTAAAAATAAATTCTTCTTATTGCCATTAATTCTGTTGACCCTTATATCCTTTTACCTCACTTATCAGTTTTCTACAATGCTTAGTTTTTCAGTTTTATTTGTCATTTTCAATTGTCTTCCTCCTTCCACCCCTATTAGTTATCTATTTTATATATACATACTTAGCATTTATAAATAGCTGCTTTTCCTTCTTCCTCCATTTTACCACTGGCTCCTTCTTTCCTAATTGTGTCCTTGTGAGCTAATTAGTAATGCTTGCAGTATCAGGCACAACTTTCTTTTTACATTCTTTCTACTACTGTAAGTGGCAAGGTTGGTTTAGCCAATAACTTCACAAAAGCAGCCAGATTCTGGGCAAGTGAAAGGCCAGGACAGAAAGAAATCTAAAAATGTCCTTTACATTTGACTCTACTCTTATTCCGTCCGAATGCCCTAGGATGGTGACTGACAAATTTCCACTTGTCCTTAGGATGACAGAGGTAGATATAAATAAACCACGACATGTGACCTAGCAAGGAGTGTAAGGGGTTGAAATCCCATCCCAAATAATCAATCCCACTGCAATTTCCTAAGTAAGATTGGAGAAGGGATAAGAGTCAGCTGTACTGAGCAGCAGTGATTAGCCTCATTTACCCCGAATTGCCTGGGAATGGTGAGGTTGTGTAATTGTCTAAGTGACCAGCTGAGCAGAAGCGTTGGAGGGAGAGGATGGAATGAAGGTCTGGGTTTGTTTCTAGGTTGACCATGAACTGTGCAATGCTAGAGTTTCCTGTTCAAATTGCTGCTATTCACTGCCTGTTCAGTGCAGAAATTTTCTGAATGGAAGGGGCAGCTCCTTGCTCAGCAATTTACTTTTTTTTTTTTTCAAAAATGTTTTCTGCCATATTCTTCCACTAGCCATTAGTTTTTATTCTTAAATGGAGACCTGTGGGTTTCTGTGTTGAGTTCTTGCAAGCATAATTAAAAGCACTCTTAGGTTAGACTGAGACTTAAGAGAAGGAGGGTAAACCCAGCCTCATCTCTAGGATGCTGCTTGCTCACCTTGTGGAAAAGTAACGTATGCTTTGGCTTGAGAAATAGACTCATATTAGGGGACCTGGCAGCAGAGTAGCAGGTGTGTTGCTCACTATAAATGGGTTCCCCTGTCAGTGTTATGTGGGGATGTGTGCCTACTGCTGATCAGTACTTTGCCTGGCTGGAGCTGATTCTATCAGGCTTTGCTTTTCTGAGCACTTAAAATCAATATAAATTAATAAAAAGAAACCCAACAGCCCATAAACAACATTAGCTATGGAGCTGCTAAAATTCAAGCAGTCAAACTATATTTAATCCACTTTTTCACATTAATGCTGTGCAAGGGTGCATATTTAAAATGCTACTATTAGATTAGTAACAGATGTTGCTCAATGGAAATCAGAAATGATTCTTACAGAGAGTTATTTTGGAGGAGGCTTCTTTGGGGCCATCGGAAGAAGTCAGCTGGGCCCTATGAGTGCACCAGCCCTCAGTGCCGTGACTCTGAACTGTGTGCGTGGCCAGGCCTGACTCCTGCAACCAAGAGTCCTCTTTGGTGAGACACAGCCGGGCTGGCTGAGCCCTGCAGGTGCTCAGACCAGCGCTGTGCTGGCACCTGGCTGTTGGGGCCACTTTTCAATTTGTCAGAAAATGGACTGAAGTTCATTATTGCTCTGAGATCCATTTGTTCCCAACTCAGCCCCTGTCTGGCTTCAAGATAGCATCTTTGTAGTTCTCAGAAGTTCACCGAGATGTCCATGCTTCTGGTAAAATAACAGCGTTTAATATTAAATGATATATCCATGTTCTTTGGGAAGCATATCTTCTCATAGGGCTTATTTCAGTACAGTCCTTACTTCCAGTGTTACAATTTCTTCCTTGCTTTGTGTGCCAGACTTGTCTGCTCTGACAAAATTGTCCAGTTTTAATTATTTTATGAGTTCTGGTGTAATTTAGCACAGTGCTGAAGTAGTTCCTTTCTGCTTCATTTCTGTAGAGACACGGAGTGATCCCTTCTCCAGTCCTAAGACTCAGCCTGGTCACTTAAGTTCCAGGGAGCTTCTGAAAGCACAAGTCTCTCTACACCTCAGTTGCAGCACCCAAAAAGTGAGTAAAAACATGTGTTTCCTTTGTGCCACACAAAACAAGTGCTACATTTTGGTTTAGACACAGAGTGGAGCATCTGCCCTGCAGCCTCAGTGTCACAGGGCTGGAGATGGCAAGGAAAGGGGGAAGGAAGGATATGGCTATACTTCATACACCTCTGTGGAGAGCTTCCATGAGCATTAAACTTTGATGCAGGATACTCACAACCTTGCTACCCTGACCTACTTCAACTCTGGTGTCTCAAAGGAACCCAAAACCAGTATCTCGACTGGTTAGGACCTACCTGCACAGAAGAGATGTGTAGAGAACAGGGAGAAGCTGAGAACACCTACTAGGACAGCAGGTTTGAGGTTGGCTTTTGGTTGAAGCAGAGACAAGGCTTTCTCCTCGGTAGCCTACGTTTCAGGAAAACATCCTTCCTTCTGCTTCCAGTAGATAGGCATATGCACATTTGGACCTCTCTTCTTTCTCTTATACATGTGTGGGTGGGTTATATACATATATATAGACCTATATACCATAGCCACCCACCTCTCTTCCTATTATAATGTTTTTTAAACATTTGTGATTATACAGCATCTTGTCAAGAATTAGGAAGTTCATAATTATTTATAAAGTTAATGCTTATAATGAAACGGTTGCACTTTGATGTCTGTATATGTTTTCTAAGCTAGGATGACCTATATTGTAGAGGTATTATGTATACTAGGTGATGCAGGGATTGGCTTGGGAATTACCCATGTTTAATGAACACTAAAATTAGAATTTGACTGAAATCCACATAAATGGCTCGACAGCAAGTTCGACTGCCCCTGGGGAGCTGTGGGCAGCTCAAATTTACCCACAGGCATTTTTGAAAATGTTTTTTTTGAATCAGCATACTGTGCTTTTTGGAGCAGAGAGTGCAGCTTGCACTTTAAACTCCCTTCCCTTCACCTTGTCCCCCATTTTGGTGTTGAAAAGTCTTCCATGGAGAATAGAGCATGAGGTATGTTGCAGGTACAATATGTGCTACACTGATACTTTATTGCAGTTCTTGCCATGGGAAGTTGTCTTCTTTCCCTACTCACTGGCCTTGTTGCTTGGACTCTTGCTATTTTGATTTCCAAATATTTGGTGTCCTCTGTAGGTATTTGTACTTCGGATACTGCAAAACCTGGTCTGACTGGTTTGTATCTTGCTGTCCACCATACTGCAACACTGAAAGCATGCAACCACAGTGAATCCTAGCTTTCAGAGATGAAGGCTTGTTTTGTTTTCATGGTAGAGGCTTGTTCTCTGACTCTGGGGAAAGATAAATCTACCTGCTGTGCCTTTCTTTTACCATAGGAAAGGAGTTCAATTATCCTATAGGAAGTCTGTTTATATCGTGACTACTAGTTTCCAGTTGCCGAAGGAAAAAAGATTCCTGAAAGAATAATATCAGTACTTCACACTTTGCACAGGCCTGGGAAAAAAGGTGAGTCTTACTTGCCTTGCATCACCCTAAATGTGGAGTCAAGAAACATGTTATTTCTGTTCAGGAAGGATGAGCAGATGCAGGTAGTCCTTTACTCCTTTTGCTTTGTGCCAGCAGCCAACTGAGGGCGCCAGGCTGTGCCGTGGCCATGACTTCGGGGTGTCTGGGCCGTACGTGACAGGACAACAGACCCCTTGGTTTTTGCTGCAGAGCTAGGCAGAAGTGGTTAGAGCTTATGGCCTGTTTAATTCACAGCCCAGTTGTGCAAGTGGAAAAATACTGCAATTATATTTGTTGCCCACAGTCAGTGTGAGAATTCTTCATAAGATTCAAGGAGAAAATTGCTAATTTAAGAACCCAGCCTTCTTCCAGAGAAAATCTTCAGGAAAATGCATATCCCAAAACACAAGGGGAATACATCATTTTGTTGGTGGATTCATCTGTAGGACTTAGGTTTGTCTTAAGAGACATATATCTCTTTTTAAGATGTACCTTTAAGGAAGCTCTAGGTAAAATGGCTAAGTCTGGTTTTGAGCTGTTTTATTGGGGTTTGTGACATGACATGGCTGCAAAGAAGTCAGTTCACCAGTTCTTTCTTAACTGGCATACTCTGGATTTGTTTTTGTGCAGCTTTATGCTCCTAAGCCTAAACTTTGGCCAAGCCTTTTAAAACTGGTCTACATTGTTGCTTTTCTCTTTCTCTCTTTTCTCCTTCCCTCTTTTCCACTTTTCTTTCTCTTCCCCTCCCTTTCTTCCTCCCTTTCTCCTTTTCTCTCCCCCTTTCTCCTTTTTCTCTCTTTCTCTCCCCAATTTTTGTCTTGCCTCATAGCTGTAGGTTGTTGGCTGGAAACAGACAAGTCCTTTTATTTCTTTTGACTGCTTCTGCAAAGCTTGACGGGGAATTTACATAATCAATGAGGTAACCCTGTCACCCCAAACATGGAGTCTTTAAAGAGAATAGTTTTATGCAAATTAGATATTGATGGTGTAATGATTAATTGGCCCCAAGCCTTTGTTAATATGCAATTGTTGTAGTGTAACATGCATTTGTAATTATTTTGGTTTGGTTGTTCAAACAAGTGGTGGGCACTTAATTGCTTGCAGCAATTGAAGAGACAGGATATCAGAGAGAAAAACAAAGGGCTGGTTAACTAGTTATCTGATATAATGTTAGATTTCCTTTGTGTATATTGTGTTACAACGGTCAGATTCTTGGGTGATAAAAATCAGTGCAACTCTCTTGGAGGATATAGAACTATTCTGACTTCCCGCAGCTGAGGATGTGATTTGAAACGTTCTCAAAGTAAAATTTCAGTGTAGTATTTGATGGTCATCTGGGAGTTAGCATGGTGAGCTGTGTTGTTTATTGTTGTTGGTTATTATTGAAACGAAACCACTTTGGTTCCAAAGGTTGCAATGAGTTGGAAGTATGCCTTGCTGAGAAGCTGCTTGGAAGACTGATTCAAGCAAACAAATAAGTATCTGAGCTACCTTACATTCTCCAAGGTGCTTATCTGCTCTGTGAGGCTTTCCAGCTAGTTTGATACCTGTTTTCCATTCCTTTTGCCTCTAGATCTGCATTTAGCAGACAGGGAAAAAAGCCTGTGTATTTGAAGGTGAAGAATACTACATCTCTGTAAATGTACTTAAGCTATTGACTGTGTTAGTCTTCTGTAGCATATGAATTTATTACATTTGTGCTTAAAGAGCACTTCAAAGTTGTGAAGTTTGTCTCCTAGGACAAAGATAATTGGAGGGGATAGCAGAGGGATCCGTCTAGGAACAGTGGATGAAAAGGAAGCAGCTGAGTATTAATAAGATAATCTAAAAATGAACTCTGTTAATAATTATATATATAAATATGAACTCTGTATATAATTATGTGTTTATAATTGCATTATATAGTTACTGTATCTCCGTAGCAATAGGGCATGAGGATAGAAGCTAAAATACAGAATTGAGAAAGGAATGGGAGTGAGTAGAAAGTAACAGCCTTTTTGACAGTCAGCAAGATGTTATTTGACTTAACAACAGAAAACAGAATAACTTAGAAAAGATACAATTTTTTTTTATCCTTTATTCCAGCAAATGAGACACTGGGAGTGGGAGGACTGTGTACGTACTCTGGGTAGTTCTTGGCTTAGCATTGATATGCTGTTAGGAAGCTGAGGGTTCAGTCTTTTGGGTTGCTCATTCCTGCTTTGGTCTGTTGTCTTCCTGAAGCTCTATCCCAAATTCCTGCAATATACAGCTTATTCTTGGTCACTCAGGTGGTACAAAATCCAAGGAGAACCTGCAGCCCAATTACATCTCATTTAATAGGGCATAGTATGATATGTATGCATTGCCCTGAAGTTGGTGCTGGAGTGTAAAATATAATGTAGTTTTAAAATAAGTTTTTTGCATGGTAAAAATGAATATACAGTTTTCCCCATATGGATGTTATAGAGTTGCGAATGAGATCGATTTTTTTAGTGAATTGTAGTATTGCTAGGAGAAGGAAATGTAGAACTTCACTTTCAATTGCTTATGAATTCTCTTACATTACTTTTGTTTGAAACTACTTATGATCGTGGGGATTAATTATACAGATCCACTCTGTTTTGGTTAACGTCCTTTGACCTAACAGTCAAGTATAGAATGTGTCCTGTCTTCTTTTGTATAATATCTGCTCTGCTTCTCAAATATGAAAATACCATTTAAACTCATAACAAATTTGATCTATAAATGTAGACCTAAGAGGCAAGACAAATGAATGCTCAGATCATCTATATAAAGAATTTAAGCAGATGTCTCTGATCTTTTCATTCACTGAGAGACATTGGTGGCAAATGGTTTTAATTAGAAACTGAATGTGCTAAAAAGCTGCTCAGAACTGATAAAGCTCAATCATTATTCTGTGCAGCAACGTCTTCTTTACCACTCATTTGAACCTCAGGGAAGTAGGCAGTTTGGATACATCAGCTACAAATGCTAAAAAAACTTTTAATTCCTCTCAACAGAGGAGAAGTTAAGTATGTAAGGAAGAAATGATGCCTTGAGTTGCTAGGAAGGTTGAGTCAAAGGTAAAGAAGGCCAGGCTAGATTTTGACCTCCAGATCCTGGACTGGTCATATTTTCACTGTAAGAGAAAATAGTACCAAGTGGCCCAAAGTAATTACAGATCTTAAGAGGGAACTTCGCAGGCTCCTCTTGAATTCATCACTGATCATGAACACCATGGGCTGTCAGCTAATTTCTCAGCCAGCGGGCAGCTTGTTCAGTAAATCCTTTGTAATCTTTTTCTATACAGCTAGTGATAAGAAACAAAAACCCCTCACCTTATCTAGTAGTTAATATCTAGTAGTTGAGAGGCAGCTCAGCTAACAACCAGAGGAAGTATGCAACACTGGCCAGTATTACAGAAATCAATATCTGTTTTAAAAAAAAAGGAAATAATTAAAAACAGTCCCAAAGCTAGCAAGAATCCCAGCATCTCCCAGCTCAGACATGATATTAGAAAGTAAAGAAACATTGGAAATGTCAGAAAAAAACCCAATCT